CAGAATATGTGGTTTATAAACAGCCAATATGTTAGTAATATGCATGCTAATGAACAACTAGTTAATAGTGAGAATTAGTCCCTATACTAAAGTGTTACCTTATTATTATTATTACATCTTCGAAAAATTTCTAGTGAATTCTACCAACTAACGTTATTTTTGTTTTCTCGTTCATAGTTCCAGTAAACACATATCTGAAAGAGTCAACATCATAAACCATGAAGACATTTGGCTGCACTAATATTAGCAAGACTTATGAACCATTCAAATGTACATTAAATAGACTGAACAACACTGAATAGCCCTACTCCCTTTACTCGTGTGAAATGGCCACAGCTGACATATAATGTTTAGAAAGAATAATAATAAAAATCATGTGGTAACCTATCAAATCCTATCAATCCAACTGTTTCTTCAAGCTAAGGTAATCTTCAAGATAATTAAAAATAACAGAAAACAGTTTTTGTTCATGTGCAAATGTCATCATTTTGTTGTTATTATTATGTGTATTTGGCATAACGGTCTTTTGCATCACACCTCTGCACTATAAACACATACATACATCACTCCTGCATTATGAAGCAAATGTCATTATTTTTGCATAAAACTATTTACTTTTTTTTTTTCCAGAATTTCCTCTAACAGCATGCAGACATTATGAGTAGTCGATGAAGCCCTCGTTCTGTGGGCTAGACCGACAGTGCAGGTTTAAAATGCAACCCCAGGAGGCCAAACAATAAGCCTGTGACAGGGAAGAGGGGGGAGTCCAGACAGTCAAGAATAATGGCTGCATCTTTCAAGTTGGATCAGGTCCTTCTGTAATGAAGAGAGGAGCTCTTTTCCTCTTGTGTGACAGCGACAGCGAGAGAATCATCTTGGGTCTCGGTCTCTCCAGTGTGGGATATGCAGAGATCGAATGAGGGAGAGAGAGAGAGAGACAGAGAGAAAGAACAGCAGGGAGGCTGGGATAATTACACACTGTTTGTGCATCCAGGAATACAAATCCGGAATGCTGGCATGACGGTGAAGAGACTGAGTGCTGATGCTGTTTTTAATGAAAACAAAAAGAAAAGAAAAAACACCTTATTTACTCCTCTCAGATCGTTTACTGTTTTACAGTGTCACAATTAATTGTACTACAGAACAGAGGCTTGTGTTTACACATATATGTGTGTATATATATTTTCAGATGCTTTGGTTCTCTAATTCTCTTTTTCATTTTTATTCTTCTCTTTCCAGAGTTGAAGTGTGTTCACACTTGGTAGCCGACAGCGAGGGAACAAGCCGTGATTTCAGCGGTAATCTACCCTGCGGCCCACTCCAGTTCCTTTAAAGGAGGGGACAGGCGCGCACACGAGCACACATTCACGAATAAACAGCAGCCGGCTCAGAGAGGATGAAAGAAAGTGAGTTCTCACTGCTAACTGCACCTCCTTGCAGTTCATTTTCATGCAACAAATACTGAATATTTACCAAGTGGCAGGAACAGCAGTTTACTACACATTCACATTAGACCAGTGTTATTTTAGTATTATTTATATATTATTATAGTATTATTAATATATTTTTTTAAATATATATATATATATATATAAAATAACTTTTATATTGATTCAATGGATTTATTGCATTTTGAAAAAAATAAAATAAATGTGTCATGGATTTATTGCATTTTGGGGAAAAAATTTAAATGTTATAATAAATGAAAATCTAAATCTGGATTTGAATTTTTAATGTTATTATAACTTAAATATGCTATGTGAAAGTTTGAAACAGAAAATAGTGGTTTTCATCTTGCCACTTTCTTGGTAAAGTACCATTTTATTTATTTCAATTAGTTGCCAAGACAGCATTTTATTTTATTTTATTTTTTAAATATAATATTTATATTTTACTTTGTCATCTTTATTTTAATGACCAAAAAAAAGTAAAAACAATATATAATAGTTTTAGTTTTAGTTAACAATAACAACACAGTGATAGATGGTTGTTTTCCAGATTTGCTCACCATTGTCAGGTCTTGTAAAAAAGTTAATTCAGAACCCCGCATATTCATGAGTGACCACAGTAAACTCAGTCAGTCCCGCCGTGCACAGCGTGAGTGTAAAACGTCCACTGGGTTGCGATGTAATGAAGAGCTGTTTCATTCCCCAGACCATCAGGGTCCTCTCTCAATGAATACCACACTTACTGTATCATCTATCAGTCCTGGCAGCCGAACTGTCACACACAACTTCCTGCCCTTCGTGTGTGTGTGCGATGCAGTGAGGCCTGGGTTTCAGTGGGCTATAATGAGGCCCTTTGGTGGCTGTAAAGACTAGAGAGGAGAGAGAGAGGAGGAATCGCACATATAGCTCTATTTGTCTTACAAATATCACACTAACTACCAATTACAGCACCATAAACCTCCTGCCTACTGCTTACCTCCCTACCCATAATGCAGGACACACAGATGCACTGGGCTAAGCCTCCCCCCTCTCTCTCTCTCTCTCTCTCTCTCTCTCTCTCTCTCTCTCTCTCTCTCTCTCTCTCTCTCTCTCTCTCTCTCTCTCTCTCTCTCTCTCTCTCTCTCTCTCTCTCTCTCTCTCTCTCTCTCTCTCTCTCTCTCTCAGCTGGTGTGGTAGAAGAAGCTGTGGTCGTTGATGCAGGAAGCACAATCAATGAGGCTGGTAATGAGGTCTTTCTTAAAGAGTAGAGGGGCTGCTGGATTAATACTAGGATAGAAACAGAACAGGGCAAACCTGGCACTGTCACTTCCAGTTTCACTACTGCACTCTGGCCAAGGGTGAAGCTGTATGCAAATCACTTTAAAAGAACCCTGAAGAAAAAAGAAAAAAAAAACATGCATGCATTAAAAAATTAAAATAAATAAATTTAAGCAGGCATTAAAGGTGAATATTACTGTTTGTGTAGAGTGGGGTTTAAAGTCTGACACCACACTAAAAACCTAAGATCTCAATTTTGAAATATGCAGTAGTTAAGGAAATGTTTTGGAATTTTGAAATTGTACATAAGGAAAGATTTTGAGATTAAATAAAGTAGAAATATCTATAAAAAAAATCTAAAAAGTATGAGAAATATCTACAATTTATTTTTTTATTTAAAAAAATAAATTAATGTTAAAATTTTCAAATTTTATTTATTTTTAGAAATATCTAAAAAGTGAAAAATATGATATGAATCACAACTTTTCATATAAATTTTCATCATGATAAAATAATTTGCAATAGATTGACAGAACTGTAGACAGACAGATAGATAGACAGACAGACAAAATACTAATTATATTGAACAGTTTTATAAACAGCAAAAATTAATCCATAAAGCTAAATGGTAAAAATAAAATATATATATATATATATATTTTTTTTTTTTTT